TCAGGTATGGATGCAACCAAAGCCTGAAGCTTGCTCTGAGGGTTTGCCTTCCACTTGGTATACAGCGTTTTGAGAACTTTTTTGGTTGACCAAGTGTTTTCGAGTGTTGATTGACGTCTTTTGCGGTCGTTGTGAATCGCTGTATAGACAGTCAACTTGGGATGGCCCAGTTTCTTGGCAATTTGAGTTCCAGGAACCCCAGCTTGGTGCATTAAAACAATAGAGGCCTTTTGAGTGGGCAACAGGCTACAAGTCTTCATTTTCAGACAGGTTCTGGATGAGGTATGAGGAAGTTATTCAAGAGACAAAGTGCCCATAGACTGGGACTACATATGTACTTGAGGTACGTACACTTTTTGTCACTGACTGTACATTCTATGTGTTTACACACACTTTGAGATTGGTGTACGTGGGCCTACATGTGGGAGGTATGGGATTGAGCAAGTGCGGGAATCTGGAGCCCGGCTTTTTGTTGCCAAATTTGTAGCCCAAAGCTCAAAATTTGAAGCCGGTGTGGTGATCAATTTATGGGATCAATTAAAAAATTCACATTTAGCAGTTTACCAGTTTATTAGAAGGATTCAGCAGGACAGAAAATTCAAAATGGAGGTTTTCGATCAATTGAAGCTCTTATAGGCTTATGTATTGGTCATAAGGATAACATTACATCATTTTATTTCACATTACTTATTAAGATCATTATAGTTTATTCACAAACTTATTACAAAAAGAAAGAAAAGAAAAACATAAGAAAAATTCAAAAATATAGGTACATAGGTTGGAAAATGGTTTTTAGGGTAGTAAAAATAAAGTTATGGGTATTATGAGGTTAGAATATGAAAGAACAACATTATATTATACTGTGACAATTTTAATCTTGGAGGTTGATAAGAAGAAACAGAAGTTATTAGAGAAAAGGCACTTTTTTGAAGTTGGTAAACAAGGAGTACACATGTAGTTTGGTTATGTAATAGTGGTAGTAATGGAATTTAAGGTTGCCAAGAAGATTTTCCGGGATTTTTAAGGTTACAGAAGATGATGTCATATTACATGAGCAAGAGAAATAGAGTAACAGCTGTGAAAAGTGGAGAAAATGGGTGAATTTCGTCAAAAATGAAGGTTTTCAGCTTATTACATATGTCAAATGACGTCAGATTGGGTTGGTAAATGGCTAATTCAACGCAGATGAGTGGATTACATAATGTACAAACTTTAAATCAATAGTAGCGGAGGTGTATGAAAAAAGTTATAAGGCAAATAAAGAATTGGTGTGAATCTCGAATTTACAGTCACAAGTCAGCATGTGATGCTCAAAATCTTAACTTCACAACTCGATGTCTTACTCATCACTCATCAGAAGTAGGTCATATGGGTGTCATAGATGATCAGTAACACGAGGGCTAGAAGATGCACTTTAGTAATCAAAAATTGGAGCACATCTGAAAAAATACGTAATCTCAAAAATTGGTTTTCAGCTAGTTTACAAGGAAAAAATCACCTGTATTCATCATAAGAAGTGCTGTACATCATATTATTGCGTCATTGATCAATTTTGGCTGTGAAAATTACATCATTTATTAGTAACAAAATCATTACATTGCGTCATCATAGGGTTTTTAGGGATTTCTGGGCGGATTTGACTGGTTTTGAGGCTGTTGACCATTGTAAAAGTTGGAGTACATTGTTATATATACTTTGAGAGGATTTTGGGACTGTTGTTCCCCCTTTTTTCTTTATCATCTACACAGTTATTATTTTGTTTATCATTATAAACTTATTGTAATAGTACCTGGTCACTTAAATACACCCTTTATTACAATTATAAAGAGAAATTTACTTTAGTTTTATAGTCAAAAAAGACTCATTGGGAATAATATCAATAAGATATTGCTTATTTCTTCAGTTATCATTTGGGAATAACACTATAGCAGTGTTGATAGTAATAACAATTGTGCTTTTGAAGTTAAAATACGTGTGAAGATATATTTCTCTGGTGCCTGATCTGTACTCAATACAACAGAGCCTTTCCTGATTGTGTTGTTTTAGAAGAGCAGTCTCAGACAACTTCTACTAGTCCTTTTCTTAGTAGATTATCCTCTTCCAGCTTTGTATAACCCTTGTTGGGTTATAAGTTCTACACCGGCTACAAAAAAATTTGGTGATGGGGACTGCCATTGCACCAAAAAATTGGGGCTCAGTCACCAAATTTGGCCATAGCCCCAATTTGGAGCCCACCACTGTGGATGCTCTCAATACCCAGTAAAGTATCAAGATCACAATTCCCATTGTAAGATACTTTGGTAAAATATTGCCAATGCAATACTTTACTCAATACAGTATTGAATACCAAGATACCATAAAATGTTGGCTCAGGTAACATACAGTCAACTCTCCATAAAGGCATACCTTTTATGGGCATAATTCCTCTAAATGCATAGGTTTTACGGAGTTTTTTCCCGCCAAAATAAGATTTGTAAAGGCATATTCCTCTGAATGCATAAGAAAACTGCCTGCCAAACTGTATGCCATTAGAGAGAGTTGACTGTATCAACAATACTAATGGTCCACAAACTTGAACACCCAACCTACAAACCCATGACAACCCGATTGTTTTTGGGGTTTTGTCCATTGGTTTCCCACTTCCCTGTTGGACAAAACTCAAAAAACAATTGGGGTGTCATGGGTTTTGTCCATGGGATTTTAGGTTGGGTGTTCATGTTGGTGTACTGCTACTGGGTACAATACCAATACTGTATTGAATATCATACAGTTTATCAATACTGTCCCAATACCAATACCAATACTGGCCTAAAAACAGTAGCAAGGGCCTTCAAGGGCAGTGCATTTGAGTGGAGATGAGAAGAAAAAAACAAAGAGCTGTGTGTAAATAACAAAAAAGAGCAAAAAAGAGTAATAGAAATGTTAACAATAACAATAATAATAACAATAACAATAACAATAACAATAACAATAACAATAACAAGTGTTTATGAATATAGGAAATATAAGATGTAAACTTCTTGTCAACCCTTTCTTTTACAATGTGGTTAGTCCAATGCAATGCTACTTGCCATACATCTTTGACACTCTGCAAACTCCTTGCCTGCTATGAGTATCCCATCCTTAGACCACATTAGAGCACTTACCAAGCGCTCATTGGTTGGAGGTTTCATAGCTCCTCAATCACGACAACACACATCTTCAGCTGCTGAGAAAGTTCTCTCAACAGCACAGGACGCCCCACAGACCGCTAGATAATTTCTTGCCAGAGATGATAGAACTGGATATCTGGCCTTGTTGACCTAGTAAACGGATGTGGTCATGCATCAAAGTCAGCTTTGAGTACACCATGTCTGTGTGGTGTTTGCTCATTGACAAGCTCACACAAATTGCCTTTGTGCCTCAAAGGCATTCCATGTGTGCTCACTGTTGGGCAACTGCCACAAGGACGAAGTGGTATAGAATAGAAAATATAAGAATAAGAAAGGGTTGAAAGGATACCTTCCACCACTCTAAAGCGAGGTTTGGGTCCTTTTCTACTGCCTTAGATGGCTCATCAACACGCTCAACATAATTACAAAGTTCGTTTTCAAAGTGAGTCTGAACTTGCTTTCTATGAGCTCAAAATCTGTCATTGTCATTGTCATTGTCATTGTCATTGTCATTGTCATTGTCATTGTCATTGTCATTGTCATTGTCATTGTCATTGTCATTGTCATTGTTTGAATCAGTTGCACTGTCCTTTTTATTCTTGCCAGGATGACACCCAGCAGCACCCAACATTGGAATTCTGACACCATGAAGCCATTTTATGAGCTCATATTGGTTTAATTCAAAAAACATACTTGCCACTTTTCTCCAGCCTCTCATTCATCTCATTTGTCCTTGGAGGGTGGTTCTGAAAGATTTCAAAGTTCTGGGTGTGAAAGAACACTTGAAGTTGAGTGAGTTCACAAATCACATCAATTTAAGCTTTATCTTGTGGTAACCTGCTGTCAACTGCCAAATTAACTACAACCATTCCAACAATGGTTGATCAGAAATTTGTAAGAAGCTCATCAACACAGCAGATGGAATGACTGCAACTGAGCTTTCCAGCTTTTTCTAGAATCAACTTCACCACACCTGATTAGTGGGTTGACCACTTCTTGGCTATGTCAAATCTTAAATATAACTGATGAGAAAGTGATGTTCTCACCAATAGCCATGAAAGCCAAACAATGATCATAGAGGATTCAGCACATGTATTGCAAAAGATGTGAAGTGTCACAAGGATGCATGATTGTCATTGGAGGATCATATTCCTTGCACATTGCTCAAAAAAATTGAAAAAAAAAGTATGAATTTTGCACCGGACAGAATTTTCAAAAAAAACAAGTCACACCGCGGGAATCAATCAGTTCAAAACCGGTGTCCGGGTTTGAAATTTCCTCAAATTGTGAATTTCGTTCACAATTTGTTTGCAATAGGTTTACCAATTGCCCTCGAGCGGTACTCTGTTGGCCCCGCGTATGTATGTACAGCTACAACATACAACAACAACCCCATTTCCGACCATTGAGCCAGCTTTCCTTTGTCATGCATCCTCAGTCTTGATGCTCTGCACATTGATGAATCTGTGGTGACTGTTGTTGAAAGGCGTTGTTGTTGTATGATGTAGCTGTGCATACACGGGGAGAGCAGAGTACCACTCAAGGGAAATCAGCAAACGTATTGCAAACAAGTTGTGAACGAAATTCACAATTTGAGGAAATTTCGAACCCGGACACCAAAATTCGGTTCAATCGGGGTTCAAGCTAATTAATTCCCGCAGTGTCAACCATGGCTGTAAAGACCCTCTCGCTTGTCTGAGAGGGATTAGTATTTACAAGTGTGACTTTGAAGACTCATTTGCTTGTACAGTCACAATGTTGTATGTATACAACATATGCTTATAGCGTGTGTCACGAACCTACGATGATGAATATGATCACCCCAAGTCTCAAGATTCAGGGAGCCACCACTTCTTTGCAAACCGCTTTTCCTCTACCGACTTGGATTACCTATTCTCGTTGTCTCCCGTCGTAACTTAAACGGGATCATCAGCGAGGCTAGCTCGTTTCTGCCTTCAAGCTCCTATCCTTTCCAGAATCACATTTCGTGAGTTCATGTTTTCCACATCCGATCTCCGTTGAGGACCTGACCCCTTTTTTCAAATGCTCGATCGGACATGCCTAGCGATCACACCGAACAGCTGTTGCAATTAATACCATAGACTCAAGCTCTAATATACACCATGCGTGAAGTTATTAGTTTGCACGTCGGTCAAGCTGGTTGTCAGCTTGGTAATGCCTGCTGTGAGTGACTGATTTGGGATATATAACGTTATGTACTCTACTGAACTGAATCTCGCGCGCAGGGGAGCTTTATACGATTGAACACGGTGTGTTTAAACACTTCTGAGTTTGTGTTAATGTCTGCTTGCGTTTCTGACACATCCAGGCTTCCTATAGGTCTCAGCCCCGATGGACGTATCACTTCCCCAACTGCCAGAGGGGATGATGGTTTCAGTACCTTCTTCAGCGAGACGGGATCTGGTAAATACGTGCCTAGGTTAGTGCTCATTTGAAATATAGTCAACATCTTTGGATACATATTGTTCATCATGCTATGTTTATCCAGGAGTATCTACATGGATCTCGAGCCAAACGTGGTAGATGAAGTTCGAACGGGTACCTATAGGAATTTGTTTCATCCCGAGACCATGGTGACTGGTAAAGAAGGTGTGCACAGGCTTTCTGTCTCAGTGGGTGTCCTACATGCGTTGATGGCCATACTGACCACTCGATATTATTAGATGCCGCCAATAACTACGCCCGTGGTCATTATACTGTCGGAAAGGAGTTGATCGATCTATCGATGGACCGGATCCGCAAGTTGGCAGACAACTGTACAGGTCTCCAAGGTTTCTTTGTCTTTCACTCCTTTGGAGGTGGTACCGGTTCAGGTTTTGGAGCGCTTCTTCTCGAGCGCCTCAGTGCCGATTACGGGAAGAAGTCCAAATTGGAGTTTGCCATCTATCCGGCCCCCAACATGTCGAGCTCAGTTGTCGAACCTTACAACTCTGTTTTGACCACCCACACCACGCTTGAACATGGTGAGTAGACTTTCTTTATGCAGCCAAGTTTTTTGACTGGCCACCTGACACAGTGCTTTGCTTTGTAATTACGTAGTCGATTGTAGTTTCATGGTTGACAATCAGGCAATCTACGAGATCTGTCGGAAGAATCTTGGGGTTCAATCCCCGGGGTTCACCAACTTGAATCGATTGATTGCTCAAGTGGTCTCATCTGTCACCGCATCCCTTCGATTCGACGGAAGTCTTAATGTAGACCTCAACGAGTTCCAGACCAATCTGGTTCCGTTCCCTCGGATTCACTTCCCTTTGGCCACTTATGCACCTATCATCAGTGCCGATAAGGCTTTCCACGAGAGCAACAGTGTAGCCGAGATGACGATGTCTTGTTTTGAACCCACAAACCAGATGGTCAAGTGTGACCCTCGTCAAGGCAAATATATGTCCTGTGCACTTCTCTACCGTGGTGATGTTGTTCCACGTGATGCAAACGCTGCGGTTGCAACGATCAAGACGAAGCGTACGATTCAATTTGTCGACTGGTGCCCGACTGGATTTAAGCTCGGGATCTGTAATGAGCCTCCTGCCTCAGTCCCGGGCAGCGATACCGCAAAAGTCTCTCGAAGTCTTTGCATGCTTAGTAACACTACCGCTATTGCAGCTGCGTGGAGTAGACTTGATCACAAGTTTGATCTTCTCTACAGCAAGCGTGCATTTGTTCATTGGTCAGTTTCATGATATACTTTCATTTTGGTTCACATTGTGTTACTCATTTATGTTGTGGATCTAATTTCAGGTATGTTGGAGAAGGAATGGAAGAGGGTGAATTCTCAGAGGCTCGTGAAGATCTCGCAGCTCTTGAGAAAGATTACGAGGAAGTCGGATTGGATGGTGCTGATGAGGAGGAACCTGGCGAATATTGAGCTATCGTACTTTGTTTTACATGGTTACCCACAACCTTTGGATGTGCATTATACATTTGATAATCAAGCAAATATATATCATTTAAGTCCTGTCCCACACCACCAAGGAATGTGGGCATCTGCAACGTTGCAAATCGAGCCAGCCCAATACGCTGGTTTTGAATATGGTATCAGAGTTTGTATTGCAGCCCAGAAGCAAGATGACCAATAAAGAAGCGTTGTTTACTCTCAAAAGGCGTTGTAGGTTTGCAAACTCCTTGTAGACATCACAGCCTCTGCCTGTTATGCCGAGGGGGCACCAGTCACATGAAGTCACATACATATGCACTGAGGTCCCCCTCTCAGCCCAAACCTCGAGCAATGTTGTCGGATTTCCTGACTAGTAAATGATCATGACAGATTCCAATTAATTTCCCCGTCCGATCAGGATGGATAACCCAGACTATTACATATATGTGTCCTGTGATACAGCAGGATACAGCACATCATCTTCAAAGATCAAGGTTCCCTTGTGAGATGACAATTTATATGTTCAACACCTGCAGGACCCAGATTACTTTGAAATATTCCAAGGAAAAGAGACATCCAAGGGTACCATTTTTGAATCTGTGCCTTTTAAGCTTTCAGTCTCAATCATATATGAAGCGTGAACATCGAGAGGACACAGCATTATCATTAGCAGACAGTAACATCAAATTGAATACGTTTATTTTGTAACATGACAAGTATATTGATAGAAAGAAACGAAAATAAGTTTGAAAACTCTACATTTGATCAAAGAATTAAGGTGTTAGAAAAATGATTATGGATGTCTTTAATTAAGGGTTTGATTGAGGCAGAGAGAGAGAAACCACAAAAATAAATTAATCATAATTGTCAACGAATCATCCTACCTTAGGCTTCAGTTTGACTTTTGACTTTGATCGTGTCTTTCGGATTTCTTATAACGGTGCATTTTCAGGTGTTTGCCCATCAAGGTTATTGCTAAATATTGATTCAATCATCAAATTTTGAATGGTAAGAGAATCGATCAATCGTCTGATGAAAAAAAAATGAGAAATGAAAGATGAGTTTGACTTACAAATTCCAGGTGAACGGTGAAACTATGAGTAAGTCTTGACTTTCTTCTACAGTTGAATTAATTTTGATCCAAAATCAAAACAGTGGTTGTTATTCTATAAGTTCAAGTCAAAATAAACGAAACCATTATAAAGCTTACATCCTTTGTCATCCATATCTGGAAGCATCCTACCGCTGGGTCCAAAGTTACAACCGTCTAGTACCGGAGCTATTTGCATGGTCTCCGGTTGATTCTGGCGTTGGATATAACTGTAAGTTAATGAGAGAGAAAGTCATGTGGCGTTATTGATCTTGTCAGCTATCTTGTTAACCTGACAATTGGAAAGCACGTTGGGTACTCACATCTGCTTGCCACAGTTTCCATTTCCAGCCCTGAAAGGATTTCACGTCATAGGTTTTCAAGGTCAGATCAAGAAGATGAGGGTATGCATAGTCAACAAAAATGTAAGAGCTCACCAGTTTAACCATCCTGCGGTTTGAGGGTCTGCCCCGTTGACCCAACTCGTTCCGGACCATAGACAAACACCTAAGGTGTCAAAAAAGTATCAATGTCCAAGTTGTGTGAAAGACGCATGGCTCAACCAAAAGATTTAAGCTCACCTGAAGCCGTAACTGGGATCATACGGACCTAAAAATAGTTTTCAAAGAAGCCAAAAATCAGATTCTGTATCTTTCTCTTGCAAACTTCATCCGCAATCGGTCTTCTAGACACTTACCACAGATCTTTCATTCCCAATTAAAGTCGAATGAAAAAGCAATGGGTTAGTAAACTATACGTATGACCATCAAGAACTATATACTGATAATCAATCAAACTTACCCCGCCACCGCCATGAATGCTCATTGACTAGAGTTGCACAGAAAAGAATTCGCACGTTAGAAATAAGTGGATCAGATAAAGAGTTTCTTGTGGTTTGATAAAGTGCTTACCCCATTGGTTGTATCATATCGACGACGGAATCGTTGTTTCACCGATGGATTTCCCATCTGAATGTTACGAGAAAACCGATGAATTTCAATCATGTAAGTCAATCAGATTCAAGTTACTCAAGTTCCAAAAATTCGAAAAAGAAATCTCTTCTCACCGTTCCGACGTATTCAGCCGTAATGGGGGCATTTGGATCTCCAGTGCAAGGCATATCTGTAGAGGATTGTACACACCCGTCCTTTTGCAAGAAGTAATTATAGCATAATGTATGATTGACCGCACTTGCGTCCTCTGTACTAGGGAGATCAGTTGCGGCTGGGTCGTCGACTGAAATACGATGTTTGACTTTCACTGAGAAGGATTAAGATCGGACTTGATCCGCTGAGAAGGGAGACAGAGGATGATCGAAAGGAAACACAATCTGTAGAAGAGATTGTAACACAAAGTTTGAGTTCGATGAGGAAAAGGGAAGAAGATGAAGAAAGGCTTGTTCTATATATATGTGCCTCAGACAAACTCAAGATTACGTCACGAAGTGAGAAGAGAAACCTAACATAATGCGCATCTAGATAAAACGCGTCTCTATGTGTAATGCGCCTAATTGATCACTTTGTGATCCTGATTGACTGCCAGTCACAGTGCATCTTCGACGGCCAGAGCAGTGTCATCCGCGTCATCAGACGCGATGAAGATAGCCAAAATCAAGAGAATAAGGATAAATACATAACTTTTGAGGGCGATGAAATTCATGTTTTGATAAGCTGGATTGTGTAAGTTGTGATGTTCAAGAAAGTGCTGATGTAATGATGATGAAGTATCGGATGAAGAAAGCTGTTGATGAGCAAATCTTTGATCTCTCTTATAGCTTTCCTTTCTTTAATTTTTGAGTCGAGAATCCAAAACTTGGGCCTATGTAGAGAGTTCGCTTGTGCTATAAGAGGAAGATACAAGACTTCTTGCTCAAAACCATCTATTGGACAAGTCTGAGGGCTCGAAAGTCAATACATAAGCCCTCTTCGCTCGCTCCGCGGAAGTCATTCGTATCCAGCAAGTCTGAATTTGGAGGGTTGTGGATGGCCGCGAAGGAATACCGTCTTGAAGCACCTTCATCGATCGTGTGTTTGTGAAATTGACAAATTTGTTTGAAAGATATGACTACCTTGTAGGAGCCGTTTGGCCTTCTTTTAACACACACCAGCCAGCCTATCAACTTCCTTTTGGCCCCAAAAACTGGACTTTCGAGCAGAATAAAAATACTTACATCTCATGACCGTCAATCATGTGACCAAAAGCTCAATGAAACCCATCTTTCGGCTCACGAATTGCCTCGTGGTATTGCAGGTTCAACTTTTCTCAAACGTATTGAAAGATACATATAGGATCTGAATGAAAATTAATAGTCAGATCCTACTGTTTCTGTAGCACTTTAAGATACCGAAGATCTTGAATTGGTATTCCCAAGGTATCGGATTATGTATGTATGTACTCCTTCACGGTTGTTTTTTTGCTTCTGGATCATCTTCTTTGAGCCCTAATCATAACATATCATTTTATCTTCAACATGAGATATACCAGGCAGCATTCTTTGTATGGCAAGAGTCATATGGTAAAACGAAGGAAATCATAATTTATCAAATCTTAATGATATCTTACCAAGAGATAAAAAGGCTGTCAATCATGTAAATCTAATCAACACGAGGAAATGAAGTCTGGTTTGTAGTTTAGTTTATAGATTGGTGGGGACCCATCCTTTCAGAGCAGCAACTCTTCTTCCAGACTTCTTGGCCTTGTAAAAACTCATCCCCGAGCGTGATATGTATGATTATCTGCATCCATAAAGGCCGGAAGATAGTGTTTACATGAAGGTGTGATTTTGATACAAATAGGTGAATAAACATACATACACAGCCCGTTGAATACTTTAGGAGAAGTGAGTTGAGTGAGAGTTGATGGATTAAGTAAAGAAATCGAGTGAGTGATAGGATGGAGTGGTATGTACCTGAAGAATTGAACTGAACTTACATAACAACTCACCAAATCACTTTCAACTTGATTTCCTTTTCTTCTTTACTACCGATCTCGACTTTACCATTTACCATTCATCATCATCATCATGTCTCAACTTCCTTCTCCTCGTCCTCCAATCCATCGACCTCCTTCAGTCAGAATATTAAGACGTTCACCTTCAAACACAGCAACACATGGATCTGTCATTGATGATCCTAACTCGAGACTTCCTGTCAATCAATCCATCTCATTCAATCCAAAGACAAAAGATCCCACCATCAAGACTCCAAACCTCATTCCATCACCAAGTCCACTTCTTGAAAACTCAGGTCGAACCACCCCTCCTACTGGCTCTCGAACGTTTTCAAGTTCACCTACTCAACTAACTCGTTCACCAGCTGGAAGTTTAATCAGTCGAGCTATCTTTGGTAGAAGTCCTAAACATTCTCATCATCGAAACAGGACTCGAGCATCTACGGTGAACAGCCGAAATTCAGCTTACATGCCTTCAAATCCGGCTTCACCATCTGGAAGAGATTCAAGATCAAAACATCATCTACAGCCTAGTCTCACTTCTTCTACAAGAGCGTTTTCTCCAAGTGGTAGTAGTAGGATCAGGTCAAGAACTATGGATGACGCCAATGTTTTAGAGGACGATGAGAATGAGACCAGTGAGTGATACTTTGTACAGGATGTGAAGCAAATCATCCATTTTCGAATCTTTTCATACTTGTCTTTTTCGTCACTTTTCTCAAACTTCTTCTTCTGGCAAATCTCTTATGAGTTGTCATTTCGGATGCATACATACTTACTTTCCCAATTTGGGCTAAAATGCTACCATCATTCATCACCTTCTCGGGCCTTTCAAGTCTTAACCCCAAGTGGACTTGTATATCATTTTCTAACTGTGTTTTATTTTGCTTATTATGGTAGGCCAGACGGATGCGAATCGACATCACCCATCAGCTCACGAAAACTTATCCGATCCTATAAGTTTTTCAACAATCAGTCGAATGAATCCATCAACTCGTAGTACTCAGCATGAAGGACAACCTCGAGAGATAGAAGGACTTCCAGAAGAAGAGGAAAGTGAAGGAGAAGCTGAATCAGTTGCAGGCGATAATGATGAAATCGACTTACTCGAAGTCGTCGATCCTGCAGGTATGTATCAATCTTTTGTGACTTTCAGTTTCTTTCTGTTCTTTACCTCAATGACAGAGCTTTTAGATTGATTCGTGTGTTTCCTTTGGTTTTAAATTACACAGTTCATACAGCCTCTACTTTGGCACATATTCAAAACAGTATCTTCCTCTCAAGTCTATTCAATCCATTCAACTCACCTGTAATAGAAATTGCTCATGACCAATGTCTTGGAGGAGCCAGCATGTCACGTAGATCAAGTGTAAGAGCTAAATCACCCAAACTTGAACCAGTAACCGAGAGAAGATCTAAGATTAGAAGAGGTTCAATCTTATTAAGACCATCACCTACTCTAGATGAAGAATCGGGTAGAACTCCACAAGAAGAAAAAAATCCAGTTGATGATCATATTATTGAGATTGTGGAACAAAACCCAAGAAAACGGTCTTGGATCGCTTTGAAAAGAATGGCTAGTGGAGCTTGGGCTTTTTTGAAAACTCCACTTGGAATCGTGTTTGGGATTTATGGATTCTTGGTTGTCTTTTGGGTTAGTAAACTTTAATTTCATTTATTGATCTTGATTTATTGATAGAAAACTGATTTTTGATTTACTTTTGGGGAATTTCTAGGGGGCTGCTCTGGTGAGTTCGATTTGCAAACCAACCAATCTGAAACGATTTTCTTGACTTTTGTCGTCTTCTTAAACACTAATTTGTCCTTTTCTTTTGAAAAAAGGTTTTGATTTTGTTGAAATGGATTAAGATTGAACCTATTCAACACTATAGGATCTGGGTTGAAATCTGTAGTCAGATCCTAAATGGTCTTTTTACAATCACGGTTAGTTTAATCTTTTTTGAATAACTTTTGAAAGAGAAGATATTAAAATGAAGTTTTCCGTAGGGTATTGGTTTACTACCATCACGGTTAATTGATTGGTGGAGTGAGTTTTTCTCTCTTTTCATTTTCTTTTATTCGGATCTCATTCTAAAGTAACGTCCCATTTCATCTCTCTTGAAACCAGACATCTCAGTCATCCTTCATTACGCAAGAATCATATGGCAAAGAAAAGGAAAACATAATTTATCAGATCCTAATGATATTTTACCGATAGATAAAGATTTATCAGAAGCCGAGAAAGCCGTGAAACCACCTAGATCACCTAAACATAAACGATTTAAAAAACAAAACAATTGTGAGAAATTAGAAGATGAAAGAAGGATCTTAGGAATTCAAGAGTGCAGAAGATTAGAAATCGCTCAAACTAAATTATGTAAATCTCAAACTTGGTATAGACCTCATTCTTCTGCTACTCATTATGTAAGTTTACTTTGATCTTTTGTTTATTTCATGATGATGATGATGACACAAAAGTACTTTGTGAGTTTGAGGGAAGAATTGAATCTTGATGTGTTTTTGATTTGGTTTGGTATTCATTAGGCTTTTCCTATTTGGGGTGCTTGTGGAATCTTGATTTGTAATCTGGGGAATAGTATTTTTCAAGCTGCTTTATGTGGTGTGATGTGGGGATTAAGGTATAGTGAAAGACCAGCTGTGAGTTTTGATAGAGTATTGACTTTCTTCTTTTAGTAGAGACTTATTTTTTTATCTTTCGTTTGTTTTTGTGGTTTAGTGGACAACTGCCACTTTTATGGCACTTTCGTTTTCATGTGGAATCACAAGGTAAGCAAAAGATGATCTCAAAACTCAAAAGTAGTCAAATCAAGTTGATGATTGATTCTTTTTTTCGGTTTGGTTGGTTGGTTAATCCAATGTAGTGCGATTTTAATTTGGCAAATTGGAAAACGTACACAGAAATCGGAAGAAGTTAGAAGAAAAGTTGAAGAGTTTTTGAAAGAAAAGAAAGAAATGGTTGGAGTTGTCGAAGAAGAAGAGGTAGAAGTGTAAGAATTGAAGTCTAGAGAGTCAGGATTAGATTGGTTCGGATTGGATTGGATTATCACATTGCATATATTCATGTTTAGACAGGTTGATCATTTTCTTTAGAGCATCTTATATTTTTTTTGTTTGTATTTGTATGTATTGACATTTCTTTTAAAAAGCATTAGCATGTAGCATGGTTTTTTTTCTTTTTTTTCTATTTCTTGAAAGTTGAATTAATTTAGCATTTTCTTTTATCTTCTTTTATCTCCCTTCTATATTTAAGTTTGATTTAATTACTTTGTTTTTTTTTCTTTATGTAGATACTTTTTTTTTTCTTTTTTTTTTCTTTTTTTGCATGTTTTTTTCAAGATAATTTTATTAGTGAAGAAGTTAAGAAATAAGTTTGTCCTTTTTTGAATTTATGAATAGTAGATCTTTTATCTTTGATTGAGTTTAACTTTCAATGCATCACTTATTTCCAAAAGAGATATTTACCATGTATTTGAGGTTGGGAAAAGTGAAAAGGTGGTCACTGGCTTTAGAAGTGCTCATAAAATAGCTTGATCCTCCCCCCAGTTAGAAGTAACCATAAGGAGGTTATACTGGAAGAAGACTCCTAGATACCAATGTAAGGAGAAGTCATCAATATACTGCTTAGCCTTTGGTGAGATTATCAAATCCAAATACATATCTGAATGAAGAGCTCTATTAAATGCCAATCAAGGTTTGATATCCATCAATACCCATCTTCAAAATGACATCACTCAGTGACAATTCAATATCATTAGGTGAAACAGGATGGAATCAGGTTTTTCAGTTTCTAATGTAGGAACACAAAGACTGATAAATTTACTTTTTGTGTTGTAATAACAAAATATTTGATGCTTCTTGCCTGGACCCACCATACCATCAACATACACCAATCTACTGAGTCTGGACTCTGAAGGCACAGACATCATGAGTGAATCTAACCAAGCCCACAGTACTACTGCCAATGCTTTGCGTAACTCAAGTCGGATCATCCAGACCCCATCCTTTTTAATAAACACATTCCCAAAAAAAACCAAAAAAATATAAAGTAAAAGAAAAAAGTTTAGATATAACTGATAAAAAAAAGTCAAAGATGAAACAAATTGTCTATACACGTGAATAAGAAAATGACAAAAAAGAAATTAAAAGAAGATAGAAAAAAAAATGAGGAAAAAGTGCTTCTGTTTGTAAGTTTAGCTTGCTCACATGCAAAGTTCATCCTAAAATATCAATCCAAATCAATCGTATCTTATTATATCTATAAATCTATATATATACATATCTACCATCTCATTCAACTTTAATTCCTTAAAGAAAAAGAAACAAAACCTACAAATACATTATTAAACCTAGAAATTGCTCACTACATTACCCCCCAAAAAAGTAACAACAAAAAAAAACATTAACGATCGGTCACAGAACAGGAAAAAAAAATAAGAAAAAAAATAATCAAACTTACCAATACTCCTTGACTATAATATTGAAATGAATCATAAAGTTTTGTAAAAACAGAAGAAGCACTACTTAAGATTAATTTCTCTACAAACTCATCACATTGATCTGATGTTAATGCTAATTGAAATCTTTCTCTTAACATCTTAACGGTTGAATCACCATGACCAAAACAAGGTAATTTAGAATCTAAAGAAAACAAAATCAAAATTAAAACAAACCCTCAAGGTTAGCCTTTCCCAGAGTTCTTTGTAAATTCCCACGAGAAACAAAAAAAGAAAAATCGTCTCACCAGATTGCATTAATTCTACAATCGTAATGATCCTCTCTGCATGTTTCCTAACACTCTTAAAAGCAATCTTAAACAATTCTACAAACTCTATCCATTTGTTCTTTCCAATCTCTTGTTGATGATGGATTCCACCTAATAATTCAATATAATCTTGACTTAATTTAAATGGTGCCATTTCAAATCCAAGACTACCAGGTGAATTCGATAAAACAAATCCAAAATCAATATGAATCACATGTCCTTCTTTATCTATCAAAATGTTGCCATTATGTCGATCTTTGATTTGTAAGATATATGAAATTATCGAATATGATACTAATGATCTCATAAATTTGTCTTGTGCTTTTTTAAATGTACTTGTATGTGGTTGTCCGTATGTCTATGAATTCAATCATAAAAAAAAAGTAAGATGCAGTTGGTTTTTTGTTGGAAATCGAACGACCATGATTGATGATAAGAGTTTTTGACATGATGGACTTACTTCAAGATAATGATCATAAATCGTATAACTTGGTAAAGCCTCTCCACTCTGTGAGATCTTTGCATAGGCAGCCTTCTTTAGCGAATGTAATGAAACTGCATCCACAATAGTCTCCATCAATCCTGTACTTTCACCTGTCACCAATATTCGATAACTGTACTCAAAGTCATCACAAAGACATAATCCATCAGCAAGTCTCTCTCAAATCGTCTCATTCAAGATCCTATCAAACTCAATTCACTTACTATCGTACCCAAACATCACACTTTTCTTCATTCCAAATCCTACCAAACTCTTTAATCAATTGTGTAATCAATTGTTCTTGTCTTAAATCAGCTCCAGTCTTCACTATAACAGAAAACACATTCCAATTTGAAAGATGTCCATAAGGTGAACTTAATTTGATTCGATTCCTTTTTTCTTCCCATGATTCTCCCAACATCCTACCTGATGGATCATCTTCATTGACAGCTTTCATGACAACTGCTTCATCTGTTATATCTTCAAATCCAAACGCTTTTCGTTCTCCTACTCCTTTATCCATTTTCATTCGTTCTACTCTTTCTTCTTCTAATGCCATCATCTCTGCCATGATTTTGTCTTTGATAGCTTGACTTTGAAGTGGTGTTAATACTTTATGTCTTGGTACTCCAGAGTTCATGTTGGATGTTGGTGGTTGATTGGCGTCTGTTGCATTGGCGATCTCGTTCGGTTTAGGTGCATCTTGGGATCCACTGGCAGCATGTGTCGTATCCAATCTTTTGGTCACTCCACTTCCCCCTTGACCCACCACCGATGTATCAGGCTTTGATAAAACCTTAGTCCGTCCAATTGGTGAAGTGATGACTTGTTGACCACTATTAGTAGCCAACCGACTCACCACTGCTCCTAAACCAGCTCCCACAGTCACACCAACAAATCCAGCTCCCAATCCGATCGCACCACCCACGACCATTCCAGCTGCACTAGAAGATGTCATCGAAAGTTGTTGTGAAGGTATTTGAGATGCATTCAATTGTGCAAGCATGATGGCTGCCATCCTCATCCTCTCAGCGTATTCATCCAACGTGATTGGCTTACGAGGAGTAGATGAGCGACTCGCTGGTTCGATATTCTGTATAGGTTTTTGGCTCGATTTTGTCAAAGCAGTCGAATTGAATAGTTGACTAGTCGATCCAGCTATCCCATTCAAAAGACTGATGGTTGGGCTCTTAACGATAATCGAAGGAGAATTACGAAGATCGGTTTCCTCTTGTTTACTAATCGTTAATTTGGAAGTCCCAATTCCTAATGACTCGCGACGTTTAGCTTCAACTCGTCTCCATGCTTCTTCATCCAATGCTTTGTTTTGTAAACTCGAAGGTAGATGATTCCTTTCAGACTGTAATGAAGAGAGTAAGAGTTGTTCACCATTCTCATAAATCGCCTTTGAACTTAATCTACCATCTTCTGTATCCCCGTAAACTTGCTCTACGAGATCGACTTCTTCTTCCATCAAATCCTGCATCTCCTGCTCAGAAATAAGATCACGCGAGGCAAGTAGGCTGCCTGCCGCAATGGATTCTTTACTTGAAGATGCAATACTGGGCGCCTCTCCAGAAAGTGATCCATTGATTGCGAGTGTCTTGTCAATCGGTGAGCAAACTTCGAGACAAGGAGACAAACTCGATCTACGACCCATTAGTTTGGAGTCAGAAGATTTTAAAAGAATCCTCTGCTGGGATTCGCCTTGAAGCTGATTCACCGAGCCAGAGGAATCAAAGGGCGACTTCGATCGACCAAGGGTCTGATTTGCATCTGAGCTTAATCCTGAAGTACTGGAGTTCCTTGAAAGAGGTTTAGAAGAACTCGTGCTCTGAGACGAACCAAGAGTATCATTATGACTCTCTTGCCGCTGAAGGACTGGGAACGTTCCATTATTACCGACTGATAGATTCTGCTGACGACGAGACGGCAAGGTACTATCGTTAGAAAGAGCCGAGTTACTAAGGGCTTTCCTAAGGTCTTCATAATTTGATCGTCGCTCGGGATCAAAGTCAAGATGATCTTCAAGAACTTCGACATGGATTAAGAAAGGTGCTCGATCAGCTGAGTTCAAGACCACCGATTCATTGGGGGAGATTCGAACGATCCGATGGTGTGCTCGTCGATTCGAAGGCTGTTTGGTGTCACCGACCATTGTTGGAGACGGAAGAGCAGGGTGAGCGTGACTTTCACTCTCTTCATCCTCTTGCCCATCCACATGTTCACCTTTACAATACATTCCTAGACAGCAACCTTTGGGAAGGCTATGGTTTAAAACCGTCAGCTCTGCCCGTAATGCCGACAGTCTAGCCATCTTTGGTACAATCACCAATCTCGTCGAAATATCTTGTAGATTAGTGATCAGGTCTAGTTGAGATCTCATGGATTGCGATTTCAAAACTTGATCCAATACGTGGGAAGGAATGGAGCTTGGGTCGATCGCTAGGGAAGAGATAAGAGTGTTCTGATTTCGTGCGTCAGGATTGGGTCGATTGATGTGATGAAAGTTGTGTCGATTGGATCCAAATGGAATATCTGACTTTGACTTTGCCAAGGCATTGGGCAAGGATGGAACCGATTGTGAGGAGGCGGGTGGAATGCGAGTACGAGAAGAGAAGTGGGGTATAGGGGATGGGGCTGGAGTTGATCTCCCTTCGTCTGGCGGGTTAGGGCGACTAGGTCCGAAGTTCAATTCATCATGTATTACATCTTCAATTGATCTCAACTTGCTTGTACCAGGGAACAGTCCTTCGCTGGGCGGCGCGGTGAGGATGGATGGCTTCGAGAGAGGAGGTACGAGCTCCAACGCTTCTTGACTAAAGGATCTAGAAGAACGAGACGGGGATAGCGGATTTGTTTGCGAGTCTGGTGACAATGCGACCGATAAAGGTGTGGCAGCTGAAGAACTTGAGCTTGAGATTGACAAAGTCATAGGTGTGTGTGTTAAGGGAGCTCCCGGAGTGTAGTCAATCGGGGATGTTCCTGAATTAAGAATGGAAGACAAGGGTGATCGATAATCATGATCACTCTTTTCAGAGGCGCTGTAAATTTCAATCATTGTATTAGATTTACCTTTACCTCTGATGTTCCTTGCAGAGGCGGCAGACATGGTTTGATGATTCATTTTAATCTTGGGTTTAGTTGAGATGTGGGTTGAGACGGGTGGAACGGCTGGTTTGTCTGAATTGGTAAATCGATCAATTTCTTCCTCGCTAGCACTGTTATCCGGTTCGATCTGTTTCTTGTTTTTCCTAGGCTGATGAATATTCAAGACATCCTCATAATTCCGACTTTGCTCTATTGGTACTATGCCTAATTGATTTGTCATCTGAGGTAAAGCAATCCCACCGAGCATCAAACCCAAGCCAACAGTCGTCGGTAAGACTTTTTCACTGATCTTGCCACCCTTGAGCTTAGCTAATTCGGCTAAGGCTTGCTTCTTGATTTGACGTAAATAACCCGTCGCAGGTTTAGAAGGATGAGGGTCAGGTGCATCTGGTTTGAATTTGGGGATCAAATTAGCCCCATTAGTCATACCTGTCCGTATGCCTGTGATCCGTGGGTCTTCTTGTCGTTGATGAGTGAGCAGTTCGAGTAAAGGGTCGGAAAAAATGATAGATTGAACTTTGTTAAACGTGCGACGACAGATTGCAAATGATCGAGTGTTTGGAGCTGATGAGAGGTCTGAAAGGGACGATTGAAGATACCATAAAGTCTATTGAAAAGGTATAACATCAATGAATGAATCCTTTTGCTCGACTAAAAGCCATTTCAGAGTTAAAGTAAACTTTACCTTCATCGCCAAATGAGTTGAATCGTGGCATTTTTTGATTAAGAAGCTCTCCAATGCAAAGCTCTCAGTCGGACGGCTGATCAAGAGATGACTAATGATCATGATGAAAGAATTCATAGGTCAGACTTGAATCATCATTTCTCGAGTCCGATTACGACGATAGTTACCAAAGCTGAGGCCAATAAAACTCGATATCCTTCTCTGGAAATTTATTTAGCCTGTCAATAAGATAATAAGTTATACCAATCGACTCGGGGTAATTCTTGAGGCTAGATCATAAGAAATCAAATGGATAGTCGAATCAAAGCTCATCAGATCATCTTTTCAATCAATATATGAAAAAGATTGCAAGTAAAATATCCTAACTAAGCGATAGCCAAATGAACGTTGAAATATTCGGATTGAAATAGCCTGAGTAGAAGACCACTACCGCCTCCTCCACTACTAGTTGAAGTTGATGCAAGCTGAGTTGATTGCATCCTGATTGGGGGCCTAGGTCGATTGGGTTGATTGTTGGCAGTAGTTTGAGATCTTTGAGGACGTGTTCCAGAATTTGAAGTAGGAGATTTGGTGGTACTTGAGTTATTTGACATATTCACTTTCAAGAACCGATGATGTTGCTGGTGCTGCTGCTGCTGGTGGGGGTGGGGGTCGTCGACGTTTGTTGTTGAGACTGTGGTGGTGGTGTTTGAGTGCACTGGCAATCTGAAGATTTGGTGGGTACGTTGACTGTGTACATGTAACAATTAAGTAGCTTAAGTCAATCTTAGGATTATGTACATAAAACTCTTGATGACGGAACACAATCCAACGATAGTTCGACTTATCAACGTCCAAAGGGAAATCAAGAAAGTCTGCTGAATTCCTTGGATGATTCTCAATCTCATAACGTGATTAGTATGGATTTCTGTGCACCAACTTCTCAAGTGGAATGATCTCCAATCAGAACAAAGCCATCCCAGTTTGTTTTTCCAAAATCATGCACTAATAGTAAGACTCAAGTCCATGGAAAGAAACGATATACCCGAGACTTTCTTCTTAAATTTTATGAGCTGAAGTATAAACATTCCCTAAATTTAGCAAAAGGGAAACAAAAAGGGTTGTGAATTGATTTCAAAGGTAAATAAGATCAGGAAGTCCTTTCAATTTCAAGTTATCATATTCAGGAATTTAATGAAGATTCAAAAAAAGTTGAAATAGGTAAAGATCTGAGATGGTTAAAGATCTGAAATGGTTAAAGACGCTGGTTTTAATAAAACTTTTTCAGAATCGTGAAACAAAGATGGTTCAGCGCCTAATGAATTTTTCTGATAATATCAGTGAGTGAACAGATAGTATATAAAACTGACTGATGAATGCAATCTATGGTTAGATAAACGTTGTAAGTTCGGAATTTTTCAATAGATGACTGTGACAGATGACGCCTGAGGAATTGATGGTCAATTCTGATCAAAACCAGTACATTAGATCATCCTATGATAGGATTCCTCCAGGTACCTTCCACGAACTGGATACCTTTCCAAATTCCCAAGAAGACTATCATAATAAGAAGAATCGTGAAGGGAGAATGAAGGAAGCCGAGTTCTAGAAGGTCTAGCATGATAACCTGATTCAAGTGACCTAAACATTTCTTCATGTCTACTCTCGCGAAGACGTAAAAGTTCATTTTGTAGAACTAATTGATGATTTAAAGACCTTTCGAATTCTAATTCACGTTGTAAAGTTCTATCATCATCATATCTCCTATAATTTGATTCTATTCCTACTACTCCTTTTTGTTCTTGTTGTGGATTTTTGTTTGTAGTCGAATTAATTTGTTCTTGCTTGATTTCAGATTTAGTTTGATATTTTTGTGTTTGTTTTTCTAGTGGTGGTTGTCCTAATCTTTCATTGATTGATTGACTATTTGCTAAATCTGATTCGTGTTTCAATTTCCTTTGAATGTTCGAAGCTCATGTCAGCCACAGCTTCTTGCTCATAGGAAGAAAATATGTAGTAAAATAGGTGTTTGACTACTTCACCCGATCATGTCACATGAACTTCCTCAAGACTAACAAGAAACCATATGAAAGAGGAGCATGAAAAAGAAAAAAATGAATGAAATATATCAATTATGACGAGATTACCTTTGTGTAGTACTCAAATGTAATTTAGCATCCTCTTTATCTTGTGCAAAAGTCCGTTTAGCTTCTCGAATCTTATACGCATATAGTTGTGCTTCATCATTCTTTTTACTTCTTGATATATTTGCAGCTTTTGAATCCGATGCATACCTGTTACATATAATTATGAGTTATCTTTTTTGTTCTTTTCAAAGTTTTTATTGGATTTAGGATTTGATCAAGTCTGGAGAGACAAACCATGTGTTTGAACCTCTTGGCATTGTGCGCCTGGTTTTTCTCTAGTTTGAAGTTTGGTGAGGGACTGAATGATGCTAGAAAAGGACAATATAGAACCAATCCAGAGGTACAAAGACGTTCAGGTTGAATCCAAGGATCGGAAGGATATTTATCCGGTTGGCAGTAGTGATTTACGAGATGAAAGTCATGCCGATGAGGAAGAGGGAGTCGGACAATGGGGCTGGTTCAGTGAAATTGAATGAATTAAGATTAGAAGCTACTGAACGACTGGCTCTCAGAAAACATCCAACGCTCTCCATATTGAACAAATAATAGTCTCTCTGGTGCGAAATAATGCAAGCAGGCATGGAGACTCAAAGGGAATTGACCAGTTGACTGTTGGCGTAAGATGCCTCAAAGGTTACTTTGCGCCTTTATGTGCTTTGATCGCACTCAAGGGCTTTGGAAAACACCGAAGTGTTGTATGTAGGACGATTGACTTTACGGGAAATGTTCATCATCGGGCAGTGCAGTTGACTTGGTGTCAAGTTCGATCACACGGAAGTTTGGCAATGGGACTACAACGGGCAGTATGAAGCATTTCAAGTCATCAACAGTATTTGACGCTACTGGTCAATATGTATCTGGGAAGGAGAAGGTAGGTGGGAGGTCATCTCCCAGATCATATCATCAATTCTCGCGAAGTCCCTAATTCACTTCCACCTGCTTGCAAGTCGAACCCAAGGCCAAGCCGCAATGCATTCACAGCTTATTAACGTTGGGTTTGTTTCCTAAACTTGCAGCGCTTCACTTGAACAACTGAGCCAGAGATCACTACGAACAAGGTTTATGACAAGATGGACACTGCATCCTGGATTTGATCGAATTCTAGTGCACAGCTCGTGACAAGACCACGAGGACAGGTGCTCAGACTGATTGAACAGCGACTTTCAGCCTGTCATGATGTCTTCCTTTATTCTCTTCTCAACGTGCCACGTGAAAAGCTGGTCGATCTTTGGAGTGACAGAATTCCTTACATGCCTGAAAGTCATCTCAGCACACAAAGGACCTGGCAATTGCCTTTCTGGGTATTTTGAACGCGTCTTGTGGCCGGCTTTCAAGGCAAGTCGGGCACTGATGTACACACCTGTACAAGTTGAAGATCTTTTCATTTTTAGCCTTTGCATACCGCTTGCATAACTGGCGCAAGAGTTGTTTCGGTCGAGGTTATCCAAGAGTCATGTACTTGAAATGCGAGTCTGTCCGCTGTCGCCTGAGGAGGACGGATGCTATCCGAGCTAAGTATCTCGCGAAACCCATCGCCATTCAAACAGAAGAGAGCATGGATTTGTGTGTTTGTCTATCTTTGTTTCATGATCACGAAGATGTTGTATAGAAACCCAGAAATTGACTAACATGCCCCTGTCCTGAACATGACTTCGTGTTGATTGATCTTACAACTTTCTCTCAAGCTGCATTAACTTGACTGATCTGCTCCGGACGGTGAACTTTGATGTCGATTGCAAAAATTCTTCATCAATTTCCATCGCTTGAGAGTTGTGAGTGAATTTCAGATTGTAATTTGTACCTCCACTTCTACGCGGTGAATGAAGGAAGAGACATAGCATTATGGTCACTCGAAAGTTGGCCGTGCACCAATCGATCGATTGACCTCCTCATCTCGGTTCGTGTCTTTCTGCCACTTTCCGTAGTTGAGGCCTGTTAGGATCTGATGAGTGTTTTTTTTCTGATGCCACATACCTCGTGAGCTCATTGGGGTATTTTGCTTTGAATAATTGATGCATCATATCTGCAGGATGTACCTTCCTGCACCCACCCGACCATCCATCAATCTTCAATGCGGACCATTTGCTGTCAAATATTCAAATTTCATACGCAGGCCGACAAAATACTTGGCAATACTTGAATGTATAAAAGTGGGTACCTATATAGAGCTCTACTCATTTTGGTCATTTCACGCTTCACTTTCCTCCTCTTGTTCATCTTGTTCATTCTCGAACTACATCATCTCCACTTTGTACTCGTCTTTTGACATTTCCCCTCACACTCATAAAACCTGGTCCCTGTTTTGCTATATATAATTTTCAGCTACCGCCGCATCAAGGTTGAGAGAGTGCTTGCACATCAAACTTCTGTACAGCAGTTTAGCTCTTGTTTGATAGTTAAAGTCGTGTATTAAAATCCCGCATTAAGAAAAAACAGCAGCGAGCAGCAAGGGAGGAAGTCAAAGCGGCAGCGTCACCAATCAACTTCTTGCTGGAGTTGGTGGTTAGGTCCGGCAGGGGACTTAAGTTAAGTGTGCAATCAACTGTGAATCAGTTCCGGGTGAGCCATTTGAAACATAACATCGCCTCTCACATTCTGTTTCGAGTTGCGCAACCCCAATTTTTACGATCGCTTTTCTCATTCCCTCCACCTGGCCATTCTCAAAGTTTTATCTCATCTGCTTTCTTTCCTTGCAAAATCCAATCCTTCGCCATCTTCCGTTTCTTCTCTTTCACATCGATCAAAGTGTCTTTGACACACTTCGTCATCCTATTCTGCAATCTCAAGCCCGTAAACTCGAGTGAGTCATAAATCCTTCAATCGATCCATGGCAGGTTGGAGCCGGAGCCGATCACAAAGCAAACTCTTTGCTTGGGCACAAGCTCAGGATATGATGACAGTCGAAAGCGAGATAGATAGGTCTCGCAAAGAGATTCAAACCCTCAATCGTAAACCAAGTCTTTCGAATGACCCTCACTATGTCGCTCGCCGCCAAGCCGAGCGTGTTCACGCTCAGGATGCCCAAAAACGACTCGCCAGCCTAGGTCTGGTTACCCCTGCCATCCACAATTCCTTCATCTCACGCCCCAAAAGCTCTTCAGCGGTAAAGTCCATGTCTAAATCATCGCCTTCAACACCTTCACCCGAACAGAGAGAAATAGTCCAGCTTCGCGATGAGCTCGCCAGATTGAAACATGACCACGCTCAACTACAAGATCGGATGAGCTCCTCTGTACGGAAGGCTGAGGCGGAACAAAAGAAACATGATACTGAGAAAAAGTTCATGATCACTATGATCAAGAAATTGAAGATGGAAGTCGAGGAAGGCTGGGATAGGCTCATACGCCTTAAAGAATCTTACGAAGCACATGGGGTGAGTTTGACGGTTTGGACCTTTGGATTTTCACGTCTTCTTTCCTTGTGCGATGGTTTCTTCCTTCTTGAGCGTACGAGAGAAAGACTTTTAGTCAGTGAGACCCGAGATTGTCATTAGTTTGACAGAAAGGGGCTCACTGAGTACGTCGCCCGTGTTGGCTGTGCGGTGTGTTGATAGAGCAGACCTTTTGAATTATTCCAGAATGCTGTGCTGAGTGAGCTACCTTTCTTGTGATTGTGAACCCACATCGAACTCCAACCGTTCCCCTCCATTATAGGCACCACAAGCGATACAAGGGTATCAAACACCCTCAAGAGTAGACCTCTACGAACATATGAACATCTCAAGACCATCGACGAGGGTTTCCTTTAGCGATCAGATGGAACCACCCAGCCGACCACATTCCTCTCAAACGACCAGTCGACATTCAGCCGTTGAACATCTTCGAGCCCCGAGCATTAGCGATCTACCAACTAGCTTCAAAGGACGAGGAAGCTTGAACCGAGCGGTTGGTCACGCTCGCACCGGATCGGCTGAACTACACCATCAGCACAGTACATCTTCATCAATCATACCTTCGTATCTGCTATTCAATCAAGCCTTACCTCAGCGCAGTCGTCGTACTTCCTTCAGCTAAACTATTCAGGCATACACTCAACTTCCTATTTGCTCTCAATCATGGTCATGGACAACAACATCCTCGTTTGATTGATAAGGTCTAATTTATCGGGCTTCAAGTCTTGTTACATCGGCTATCGTTTCTAGTTTTTTTACATGCACTTATCATATCAGGTCATTTTTTACCTACACACATCATATCATGCCCTCTCTGCATAAATATAACACCTTTCCTGATACACAGAAGGTGTTTTAATGTAATATCTTTTAGGAACCTAACTTACTGGTCTATCTTATCTTGTCAATAGTATATATACATGTGATACTTTTTGTTGAATTGCATTGGTATGAGGAAGAAGCACTCTGAACTTGATTTGTTGGATTAATAGTCATCTTATCAGCTGCATACATAATGTCTGAATCCTTGTTGACAATTTCTTTTTCACTTTTTGATTCAAGACATACATACATATTATAGAAGCAATAGAATTTTGTGCACTTTTCAATACGTATTGAAATGATTGAAATTTCTGTGATATGATTAATCTGAATGTTCCTCATCGAGTCTTTCTTGTTGAAAGGATCTCATGAAAAATTCCATTTTCTTCGAAGTAAAAGCTACACATTGATGATTTGGATAACATGAACTTATCTAAAACTCAAAAATCATGGCCCAGATCGCACTCAATCCGTATGTATATAATCAATCAGCGCAGAGGGTTTGATATAATTTGGGTAAAAAAATGTGATGACTCAAGGTGTCTTTGAAACCTTTTTGAATCCACTTATTGTCATCCTTACCCTCAATGTGATCATTCTTTTCATTAGTTGGTTTGTATCCAAAAGGTTTCCCTATATGAATCCATCATTCACACTCAAAGTTGACTCCTTCCAATCTCAGTCAGCAGCATGTCGGCTTTTTGACATAACTTACCAAATATTTGAGGAATTTCAATCTGTCTCAAAAAAACTACATATATCCATGTAGCCTCGACTTCGGTCTAGTGGTGAGGTTTACGGACAAGATGGTGAAGGGAAAAAAGTTATATCAATCATTCAATCTGTCTAGATACTTTGTCATGCCTGAAAGATTGGTTATACAAGATTCAGATAAACCAGCTTCCTGATGGTTTTTGACATAATGGGACGCCTTTCCCAATATCTGAAAAAGTTGATGATCGAATGATGACTGTTCTTGACCATCACTGAGAGAGCACTGCCACCGCCACAAAATTCAACAGCATTTTGCATAGGAGTCGGACTGCGGGCGAAGTTGACCCGAAACGATCCACCCGAAACTCATTACAAGTGAACTTCAGGTTTCTTGATCAAGTTCTTTTCCGTTACCGTTTCCTTCGCATGCCTCTCTTTCCACCTACCTCTTACATCTCAACCAGAAAGCTAACTTTACAATGCACAAAGACCATCAACCTCTGCATCAGAGCCTATCGACCTTTCTCCAACCATACCAAACAGCCATATGATGCCGCAGTCGTAGGAGCTGGTCCCGGAGGTCTCACCGCCGTTGCGAATTTGCTAGACCAAGGTGCAGCGAAGGTGGCTTGGATAGATCCATCCTTCAAGGCAGGTCGGGTTGGCGATCAGTACCGCGAAGTACCTAGGTAATTTAATCGTATACCACTGCTTCAGTGATGTCCGCTTCGCCTGATAGCCTGATTTCTTCCTTCTGCTTTCCGGCACAGCAACACGCGGGTTAAACTCTTCTTGGAATTCGTTAACGTCAGCCCGACTCTTGCAGCTCTGGTCAAGAATGCGACCGCTCCAAACTCTCACACGGTCATGACAGCACTCGACCCAGACAAGGGTTGTACACTAGATTACGCAGCCGATCTGATCGTCTTCCTAACCCGAGAACTTGTCAAACAACGCTCGATCTCTGTTTCTCCAGTCACTGGTCTGGTGCAAATGATCGAGTCAAAGGACAACTCTCCCTGGAAGCTGGACGTAGAAACACAGGCTGGGAGAGATCTCATGACCAGTTTAATCGCACATCGAGTGGTTCTAGCTACAGGTGCTGCCCCTAGCGTACCATCATCACCACCAATTCCTACCCTCGACTTGGATTTGGCCCTCACCCCATCCCGCTTGCGTACTTCACTCGCCCAGCTTCCATCAGATAGCAAAATCGCTGTCGTTGGTGGTTCCCATTCGGCTATCTTGGCCCTAAAGAACATCACGGACGTCTCTCCTCATCGACCTATCATTCACTTACATCGATCTCCATTAAAGTTTGCTGAACAGAAGGACGGGTGGATACTTTACGATAACACCGGTTTGAAAGGTCTAGCAGCAGATTGGGCCCGGGACGTGTATCCTTTCCTCCCCCACATCAAACGGATTCAACTACCGAAGGATCCTAGCGGGGCCGAACTGATATCTCAACAACATCTTGTGGATTGCTCGAGAGCCATTTACGCAATTGGCTATAGACCAAATCCACATCCTCAAGTGATGGTAGATGGGCTCAGACAGTCTCTGATCTGGGATCCCATAGGCGGAAGCTTGGGTCCAAGGGGAATTTATGGATGTGGTATCGCATTTCCTGAGCAAGTGACCGATCCTGCAGGAAATGTAGAGTCTGCAGTTGGGTTTTGGAAATTCATGCGGTTTGTCAAACAAATAAGTCAGAGTTGGGTGTAGTACTACTTGGCAGATTTTCCTTCGGGACGTATAGTGTATGTAATGATTTAGATAAAGTCTATGAAATGTGTTTGTACAAGAAGAACATCAGTATGAAGTTCAGCATGGAGACCCTCAAGGTTCTCTTTCCCTCTGCACTCTCTAATGTTTGTTCGATGACAAAAAATCAGACTACCAGAAGCATGTGTCACATTGGCTTTTGTAGAGCTCAACTCGTATTGCACCTCAGGTTTTCAAAAGTGTGGTTTGAACTTGGTATGTTCAAGCACACTACAAAACCGTACAATGAGGTTTATTCGAGTTCGACTATGTCATGAGGTCAGCACAACCTGGGGTGGTAAAAAGATCTCTCTGTCGGGGACTCGAACCCCGGTTGCCCGCGTGACAAGCGGGAGTACTGACCACTATACTAACAAAGACACTGACGGGTTTACGTAATTAGAAGATATAAAGCTTGATGCCATCCATCTCCGGATTTGTAGAGTGAGTCACCGTTGTCTTTTCCTATGGATCTCTTTTTGTTTAAATCAAGGTCCTGGTCATCTGCAGTTCAATGATCAGAGGTTTACCGAGTTCTACAACCTAATGACATATGAAATGAGCTCATTATTAAGTGGGATCGCACTATTTGGCGCCCGGTTTCGAAAACACGACGCCCGGTTTTGAAAACACGATGCCCGGTTTTCAAATTTTACATCTTTCCGTAGCCCGGTTTCAAACCGGTTTTTAATCGTACACACATGCCGAGTTAGACCATGGTTTATGACAAGCATATTGTCAATAGTTTTTGAAATCCAATGTCTTAATTTGCTTTTTCAAAGACCCCGATTGCAATGTAATCCTGGAGTGAGGTGGTTAACAGTCATAAAAGTTCAAATAAAATGAAAGACTGTTGTACTCAGAAACAACCAAGGCCAAAAAGATACAAGTTCAAACAATCATTCTAATCAAGATCAACCTGAATAAAAAATAAGATACATTCACAACAATCATTTGACTCGGGATCGATTAAAATATGATGAGGTTGAATATGATAATGATAAGACGGTCATAAGATACAACTTCAACTGTAATCAGTCAAAATAGGAGTTCGAAAAAGATAAATGTTTGGTTCAATAGATTTTCATCCTCAGAATTGGAGATGAGAAGGTTGCATCACCGGTTGTTCAAGATCTGTAGGAGTGACTTTCTTGAAAGATTCATTAGTCTGACAAAACGTGGTCCAATTTGATATTGGTACGTCGTCTTCAAGTTAGGAGGAATGCTGAGTGAGAGAGGTGAGATGTGGCAAACCGGTTTCAGGCTAATGCCCGGTTTCTCATAATTGCTGCGGCTGCGGCCAAATTTGGCTTGAACGCGCGGGAAAGTACCGAGAAAAGCGGGCGTTGGGGATTTTCGAAAGCGGGCGCCAAATAGTGCGCTCCTATTAAGTGACCACTCCTCCATCTGGGATTGCTGATGGAAGTTGAATTGAGAATAGGGAAACACACAATTTTTTAAGTTGCATACTTCTTGTCTAAAAAGCCCCCCAAAGGTTGGCTCTCAACAGCAAATAGCACATGTAACTTTTCTCTCGAGCCCTGGATGAGTAGTTCACACCCAATCTTTGAGACTTTTTTGGAAGAAGTAATCAAGTTCTTCGGGAAAGAAATGTTGTACATTGGGTCTGGCAAAATTCCTCGGTAAATGTAAAGTACAGAAGGCTTGACAGGACGTCTCCAGCCAAACTGTCGTTCCTCACCATTACCAATTAAGATGTCTGTAGGGCTATGTATCTCAGCGTACAACGTATCGTACAGCAATCATCTCTGGGACAATCTGCTGATCTAAATTTTATAGCATCGTCAACACTCTGGAATGAACCATGTAGTTCCAATCCAACCTGACCATTAGTCCGATAAGATCATCACAGGTGTAAGAAATGAATAATAATAAATTTTCATTGGTTTAGCATCACAACTAAACTATTGATTGAACAATAAAGATGACGGAATTGATTTTCAAGACAGAATTCTTTGATTTGATTTCAAGAAATTTAAAGTTTAGGAAGTACTGCATCTGCACCTGACACTGAAACGTCACCTGCACTCTTTTCAACTCCAACATAGGTAACCTTCAAGTCATCTACATAGATATCAAAAGAACGTAAAGATCATGCTTATATCAAGTAATCAAAATTGTTAAAACTTACCAATGATGAGAGCAAATCGATTGGCTCTCGTACCGAGACCGTGATCACTTAAGTCGATGGTTAAACCAGCCGGCTCTAACCATTTGAGGTCGGTGTCACTGATCTAAAGGAGAATTCGAACCTTATGAGTGAGAGATAGAAAGGAAGTTCATGGAATATGATACTTACCATTTGAACTTGATCGCCTGATTTTGTGAAGCGTCCCCCTATTGAAAGAACCAAAGTTAAGGCAAGCAGGAATTCATGATATTCAGCTGTTTGTGACTTACAGCCAGACATGACGTATGCATCATTGGTTGCTAAGCAATAGATCTCTGAAACTCCCTTTGATTTGATCTCAGAGGCTTTACTGATAAATCCTGGAAGGTGACTGATCGAACAGGCTATGATTGTCAAGTACATAAGTTTAGTTGGATTTTCGTGGGAGACATGATGATAAATTTGATGAAGAGACAGAATTACAAACATTTCGTGAAGGCACCTGTCAAAAAGAAGAACCTGGTCAGTGAAACGCGAGAAGAAGGCGCAAAGTTCAAAGGAAGAGATAACTAACCAGGAAGACCGAAAACGACAACTTTCCTATCGGCAGGAATAAGGAAAAGATCACCGAGATTGGTAAGTTTTAAAGCAATGATTGAATTTAGAGTATCAAATGATTTGAGTTTGACACGAACTTTCCCTTCCATTCGTCAGTCTTAAGATTGATCGCGTTGCCACAAGCCGAAGAAGATTCCAACTCGGAACCTGTAGGAGAGAGTTGGTCAGAGATATGAATGATCAAACCAATGAAGATGAAATCCAACTGAACTGTAAGGGATGTATTTGAAAGTGGCCGACTGTTGATGGAAGGAAAAAGAATGAAAACCCAAATAAGTTCGAATGAAGAAGAAAGATAGAAAAGTAATAGGTAGAAGCTAAACTGGAATGGTATCGCCGACTGAGATGGTCATTTTGTTTGAATAAGATCGATTTTGATTCAAGGCAGTGGTGAGAGTGGATGATCGAAGGAAATGTAAGAGAGATGATGATGACCTAAGAGGAGTGGTAAGACTGAACCCGATCGGTGACAACATGATGGAAGACTTGAATTGTGTAAATTGGTTGGATGTGTCAGTGTGACGTGTTTCCTTATTCAGCAAATCGTTCGGCTCTTATCGGTATACACAGGTATACACGCTCTAACTGATCGCTTGACTCACAACTTTGTGAATCGGCGCAGAATCGAGTTTAGCACTTGGGTTTCTTGATCTTGGAAGACGAAGCTTTTTGCACTTGTTCAAGAAATCGGTGTCGCTGGAAAAGTTCTCACCTTAGCAAAGTCCCACGCTGCCGCCTCGCCACCGAGCCCCAAGCTGCCCCAAGCTAAGTTTAGAAAAGTTCACTGATTTTTAAACTTATCAAAGTCCCACGCTCGCGCCTACTCGCTCCTCGTCGCGCCTACTCGCTCCTCGCTCGACGCCTCGCGAGTAGGCGCGAGCGTGGGACTTTGATAAGTTTAACTGATTTTGAGTTTTGTGAATCCAGCTAAATTTATTAATAGCCTTTTGAAAATCGCATCACCAGAGATCGCCAGAATTGAAATGCCCCTCCCTCGCTGCTTCTCGCACGCACCATTTCTTGCTACAGTCAACTCTCTCTAATGGCATACAGTTTGGCGGGCAGTTTTCTTATGCATTTAGAGGAATATGCCTTTACAAATCTTGTTTTGGCTGGCAAATCTCATTTTGGCGGGAAAAAACTCCGTAAAAACCTATGCATTTAGAGGGATTATGCCCATAAAAGGTATGCCTTTATGGAGAGTTGACTGTAGTCTCATCCATACCCTGATTTGATCACATGGTCAGTGATATATATGCTACTTTTCAACTTATTGCACAAGCGTGGTTAGACTCTTTCTTTTTTCTTTCAGGATCAAGCAAGAAGCCACAAGCCTGTTATACATTTATACTACACAAAGTTGATTCTGGAAGTTTTCCACAAAATTTCCTGAACATTTTTCAGAAAGCCAGAAAGCTTCTGCACCTTGGGCAAAAGGGCATTCAAACATGTACTGTTTTTTCACAACTTTAGAAATCCAGAACACAGCCAAATTTGTGTTCTAGGATAGTTCTGGAAAATTTATGGAAAAGCTCCATGTCTGATCAGGCCACGGTCCCCTTCAGGTCAAACATATTTTGTGCTTGTTAGGCAGCATTGGGACTCTTCACCACTGGAAGTTGAACACACTCTACCAACAAACCTATTCAGTAGTACACAATCCTGTTGATTATGAGGCAATAGGTCAAATACCTGTGTTATTGGATGAGGATTGTGAATTCATGCTAGGCCTTCTGGAGGAAAATCCCAGCCTCTACTTGTGTGAATATCAGGATGCAGTATTTTATGAATTAGCAGTCAGGGTCTTGTTACCAACCATTGTGTCTGACCTGAAGAATCAAATGGGGATCACCCTCAAAAAAGGTCAAACCATCCATCCAAATCAAAGTACAAGTGCATCCGGAAAAGATACAACACATTTACTCCGCCGGCCCCAACTAATGTGTTGTATCTTTTCCGGATGCACTTGTACAATTTAAACATGCTAAATTTCCACATGCCATTGGTCACTTGTACCCTGAAATGCTAGTGCTCTTAGGTATGTCATTAGATTTCAACCATTTTTAAAACAATGCTACATATTGTTCTTACCTTTCCTCTTCCTGTGATAGATGAATGTTCCATAGCCAAAAGAACCCTCAATTGCACCTATCTGCGCGCCAATTACCAAGCAAAACAAAATCTGTGGAGCCGCAGTGGAAGAAGGTACACCCTTCTACCTGTTATCTCCAAGGTTGGAGCCTTGAATATGAGATGTTGTGAAGGGAGCTTTGATTGAGTTGATTTTGAGGAGTTGCTTGAACATAAACTGGTCAGTCAATATTTGAGTATCACACTAAGGGCGTGTTCACTTAGGCAATTTCTGGTGAGAACTCACATTCTGCAAAATTCAAAGTGTCTATTTGGTGGTGCATGTTTCATTTTTGCATTAACAAATTTACAGAATGTGATACCTGGTCAGAAATTCCTGAAGTCAACGCGCCCTAAGTGTCAAACTAACCTTTTGACATCCTGAATTTGCAGCTCCCTCTAATGAACCATTACCCAGCTCCAAACTCTGTCCTCATAATGGATTACACAGATATCCACCATATTGAAGGACAAGTCCAAGAGCTTGTAGACAAACATGGGATACAAATCATTTGCCTCCCTGCATACTCACCCAACCTGAACCCCATTGAGAACACTTTTAGTGTCTTGATATCACACTTAAGACAAACTCAAATTCTTTCAGAGACCGCTATTGATGATGAAGAGAGAGTCATAATACAATAAAACAAACATGGACTCTTTATTCAAGTGCACTCATGCATACATTGTATGTGACCTGTGGTTATTGGTTGTAGGCTGCAAATTCAAATCTGATCTTAATACCAACTCAATCAAAACAATCTAATTGTAAGCCAGGGCATAAGTTAAGGTGTTAACTTATCCTCTGGCTGACATATGAGGAGATCAAGCCACGAGTGAAAGGCTAATAACATCTCAAAGAATAGTCTTACAAATATATTAATTAACATATTTTCTTTTCTCATATTATTTCATAATAAAATGTTCTTTTTTCTCATGTTTAGTCTACATTTCATATTCTACTTTTCTTTTTCAAATACGCTCTTTTTTGAATAATCTTCATTAATTAATTAAAACTTAATATAATGTTGTCAATTAATTAACAAAGGCTAAGAATTCCTGAAAGAGGTATTTGTTCTCAGTTCTTGATTCTCAAAATGGATTGAGCACCCAAGTTGAGTTTCATTACAGATAAAACCTATAAAGGATCCTAACACGTGGGAACTGTTAGTCCTGAGGTCTGGGAACAAGTACCAATACCGGAACCGCTTCGACACAAATAGCGGTGTCGAAGCGGTTTCGTAGCGATTCAGGCCTCCGCTAAGACCTCCAATTTCCATAGCGGAGCCTGCGCACCGACACCCGGGGCTCGGATTATCCATAGCGGAGCCACCGAAGCGCGACCCCGGCCCGGGAGTGTTGCTCCGATATATGTCGGAGCAAATCATACAGTCTGGCTGGGGTTTGAGAACCCTCCACCCATCTGTATCCCGCTTGTATACATCCACACCTCACTCAATTCAACAGGACAACACGCCATCAAATCGATCCCATGCCGTCGTTTCCTCTATTGTTTCACCCAATGGACCCCAAAACATGGGCATATGGTTGCCCACATGCGAGCTGGTCGTTGGCCAAGTTGTGGTTTGGCGGTCAACGGTTTTCAAGTTTTATAAGGTACATTGTTTTGTTTTTCCCCCCGAAGTTTCTTTCACCTCATCGTAATACGTATCCTCCAAGTCAATTTTGTTATCAAACTTCATTTGCTGATTAATCATGGGTTCAACTTCCAATTCCCAAAGCTCAACTCAAAATCACCTCTCTGTTCCAGAGAAGAGCACTCGATCTCTTCGTCCACCTAGTCCCTCTCGTACCCAGCCAGGGTTTATGGTTCCCCCCAAAGACTCACGCACTTCTCTTACCATCTCCGTCCCGTCAACTACTGAGGATGAATCACCCAGACCTGGACCACTTGCTGGTCGCCGTGCTTCTCCATGCCCTCCGGCCGTCAACAAAAAAAAGGGAACAGCTAAGCCGAACGCTAATGGAAAGGTCAGATCATTTCTTTCATTTCTTTGTGATACGTCCATGAAAATCCAACTGACTTGCCTTGCATTGTCTCTAGCCTCGATCGTCGACTAGCAAACGCGCTAGATCAGCATCACCAAGTACTTCAGGTGGCACACCTCGTCGCCCAGCCAAGAAGACTAATTGGGAGGTAAGATTCACCAGGATGTTCACTCCGCCTACCTCTAAGAATTCATCTAATCGGTGCTTTTATCTCAGCCTTTTGAGGTCCCTGAAGATGCAGATCTGTCGCAAGGATCGGACATCAAGGTGATTGGTAGTATCGGCGAACTGGGATATAACCAGGGTCGGAGTCTTGCTGTGAGGATGATGCTCATGTACTTTTTCCCACCTAAAGTAAGTTTCTTTTTCAGTATTTAACTTATATCCTTTCTTTGGCTGACATAAATCTTGCTTACCTAGGGCCGTTCATACAAATGTTGATGGTGTCTGAACACCTACCTTAAACACCTGACCTTGTACGCAGGGCTATGGGGCCACCGTGATGGCAACAATATGCGACCTGCCTGCAAGGAGCGACACCGAGCCATCGCCGCTGGTGTCGATTTGCCACCCTCTTACACTGACAAACTTGAGGCCGACAAACTCAACAACAATCAGACCTTGGACTCATTCGTCAACGGACCCAAGTTCAGTGTGCATCTATTGAACATGATCCTCGTCATTTGGCTTGTTCGACATGCCCTTCCTTGGGCTCGGTTTGAAGACCCCGCCCTCCGTGCGGCCTTTTACTCGGTCAATCAAAGTGCGGTAGTTCGATCAAAAACTTGGGCTGCCCAACAATCCGTCGAACTTTTCTCTGATTTGCATAATAAGGCCATTACTGCCTTACAAGTAAGTTTTTTTTATCTAACTTTCACTCAGTCCCATTCAAAACTAATTGTTGATGTTCTTTTATTCTTATTACAGGAAAACAAAGGTTGTTTTTGCT